ATGTTACTCTAAAAACAGTTTCTTTTAACAAGAAAACCACTGTTGGCCCTGTTTCAACTACTAATCAGCTTTGTCACAAACTCAATTTTCTGTGCTAATCTCAACCTCCCAGCACATCCAAACTGGGCACATACAACAAAGGTAAGATTCTTTTAAAATCAAATTATGCAGCATAAAGCCTCTTGTAATCCTCTGTTTTCTAGTCTTCTTAGCCATGCTGCTGTTTCTCCATTCTGATGCAGCTCTGTGCAAAAGTAATCCATATTTATCAAAGAAAACAAAAGATAATAGAACACTGAATCAGCATCCAGCCACACATGTGACAGTTGGCAGTATGCAGACATTCAATGTTCTCCACGCTGTCAGAGCTAGCTTGCCCTTTACTCTGACTTCACACTCTCGCCAATCAAGCCTTTAAATTAGCAGGTAGTTAGTGAAATTTTGTCCGCAATCAGAGCCCTCTCATCCAGGCAATCAGTCCTGCTGACAACAGAGCTCAGAGATTAAACAGACACTTTCTCACTGCTCCTCTAACTGGATCTGGATATGAAATTTTTGTTGTTGTTGCTGGCTGGAGTTACTCACCTAATAATGAAAACACAGTCAGGAGGCTAAGATGTACTTTTTTTTTAAGCTGAAGATGTCAACAGGCAAAACCACAATCTGTCCACAACATAGTTAGTTAAATGTTAAAGCACACGATGAGAAGTAAGTCGTTTCCCCAGTGCACCAATGACTGTGCAGATCATTTTTGTTTCCCAGTTGTAAATACTCTCACATTAGAGGATTAAACCAGAGTGCAGAGTCACATGCAGAATATCAGAAAGAGAGAATATGTTTATAAGCTGATCAGATAGCCAGACAAAAGAGGCCTCTTGGCTATGAAACAGTGTCACATTCACATGCAGTCAGGAAAACAAATTAATAAACAACCTGCAGCTAATTTAACATTTAAACAGTATTAGTTATGAGGATTATAGTGACAAACAATAAACATGTACTACAAATGAATATAGAACAGGGGTGTGCAGTTTCATTTAGGAGAAATTAACATACGGTGTAAACACACAAGCACACACACACCAAGTGGGAATTTTGAACTGATGTGTTAGACAGTGTCTCCACCACCGTCTTCAAAACACCACATTAAGGAATATTTGTAGGGAGAACAGTGCTCATCCCTCCAGTAGAGTTCAGAGACTTGGAGAGTCAATGCCAAGGTGCACTAAAACTGTTCTGGTAGCACGTGGTGGCCCAGCACCTTACTGAGACATGTTACTGTATGTTGGTTTGTCCTTTCATACTTCATCCATCTGGAGCTTGAAGCCTCAGTGTGGGCGATGTAGTAGGCCAGAAGTGAGTTCCCACCCCTGACTTATGCCTTCTCCTGTTGGTCAGAAGGCTGAGGCTCTGGGGGTATCTCTACACCTCTGCACAGCTTCCTGCTTGTACAAGGAGTGTGGGCCACAGATATGTTGTGGAGCATACTTAAAAAACAAAAAATGAGAAAAAAACAAAAATACAAAAGAAAAACCTTGAAGTTACAGACTGTAGCTTTACACATTTTCATAGCCCTAGCCTGTCACCTGTAACAAACATACTGTACTCCCAAAGCCGGGTCAGGAACTACAAAGGATCCTAAATCGAATCTTAGGGCAGAAACACACCTAGAGGTGACAAAGGCCAACTGTTGTGTCACCTCATGTTGCCTTCGTCTGGGCCATGATGTGGCACTTGAGCACACTGCAAAGACTAAAGCCAATGGCCAACTAACACGTATGTTCTGCGCCTGCATGAGAGAAATAACTGCTTACCAGCAGGTGGCACTAGGCTGTATTCGTCATTCAATAAGGGGAAAGCGGAAGACCAGGTCTGCTGATATACAAACTGTAAACAAAGCAGCTCATGCTCACCACAGATGGTTTATAGTAGCTGTTTCTAATTGAGAATGTGTCTGATAAGAACCAGCAAATGGCAAAAATAAGTAGAAACCACAGTAAATGGATGAAATCATGGATACTACAGCGAACATTTCTCTTCTCCTGCACTGATTCTCTCAGCTGAATAGCTAATCACAGTGGTCTCTCTTGTTGATAACATCCAACACCAATTCAACCTGTTGAATTGGCTGAGGGTCCAACAGTGTGGGACACTGCAAAAACTAAGGTGACAGATGCTCACTAATGGTCAGTTTGGTGTGTCACGGGCCTTAGTGGTCTCACAGTGATCAAAGGGATAAAATGCCCACAGCCCATGTTCTCACTGAGGCCATGATCTGTAATGACAGATCAAAAGGATAGCATATTGCTTCACTTTAGGAGACAAGACAACAAGGCTGGGAGCCACTACTTTAAAGATCCATTTGTTAGGGTCTTTGTCATTATGAAGTTGGGGTTGACTGTGTGGTCAATATGTATTTCTATCAGTGGCGGGCCATGCATTTGGTACCTGGGCCTTCAGTGGAGACTTACCCGACTTAATTCACCTCTTAATACCACTACTGTATGTCGCAATTATAGAAACCATCAATGCTATACAAAAACGCAATATAATAAAGTGTGGCATTACAGAGAGAGAGGTATTTCGCGTATTGAGGGTGAATACCGTTTTTACTAAAGGAAGAAACCCAGTTAAGACAACTCCAAAACCTCTACACTACAACCGCGACTGTGATCTCTGCGTTTCAGTTCCATTGTAAGCCCTTTTCTAGTTTTGCTCTGACCAACCAATCAGAGGACAGAAAAATGCTGACATCATTGGCCCTGTGAGGCGAATTTGAAATCTGATTGGTTAAAGAAACAGTCCCATTGCTAATATAGTTTAAGTTACATGGGCCAGCACTTCTGATTCTGAAGGCCCTGGGCAGATTAGTTTGACATGGCAACACATAGAGGCTGAAATCTGATTGGACAAAAAAATCTAACATCCACATACACGTACTGGAAGCGGTGCAGCCAAGAGAAATACTACAAAATGAAGAGAACAGACTGTTGGGAATAAATTAATACAATTTCATGTAACAAATATTAGAATTTTGGTTGTAAATGTAGGTCAGTGCTTCTAATAGTGTTTAGGCCACCAGAGAAGGCCTTGCTGGCCCTGACGGCCCGCCACTGATTTCTATAATAACTTGTTTGAAGACATCTCTGCTAGAAAGTGGCTCATATTATTTCACTTTCCCCTCAGTCTTATGCCCATTGGTCATTTACAGCAGACTATACATATGTTGTATCTATGTGTTCCTATAGCCAATCCACTTTCTGGCTCTTTCTTTATCATGGTTGTGCCTATAACCACAAGAGACACCCTGCACCTCGCAGCTATAGGTCAGCCTGCTCTAGAGCTGCTCAGCCTACAGTCAGTGTTGGTCCGATCAAAACTGTCCACGAACTGCTACAAAAAGAAATCACATAGGCCCGGGTATGATGTGTGCATGGCTGCATATGGAAACTAAACTAAACAAACAAGAACATACAGTAAAGTTTGATCTTTCTCATATTTAAATGAGTTTATTCCCTTTGTGCTCTGTGTCAAATCTGTAAAATATTCAGTACAATGCTGAAGGAGGCTTTTGTGAAGGTGGAGAAGCCAGTGGCCAGCTCGTCATCTCTGGAGATGGTAGACGGGAGAGTGGACAGACTGTCAGATTCAGCTCTTTTGTGTGTCTGTCTCATCTCATGGGTCCATTGTGGAGGCTGGACAGGCTGATTCCACCTCAAGAATCCAGCCATCCTCCCTGCCTTGTATGCATGTCAGTCTTCCCCTTCTCCATGGGAGAGATTTCATTGCACCCCAACACACACCCCCACTTCACCTTTCAAATCAGACGCCTTGAATGCTACACTGATCAAGGAAAAATAATCAACTGCCCTTTTGTTTTAGCAGCCATTTCAACAGGAGAAAATAAACTTATGGTAATGAAGCCTTATCGTGTGCGGTTCAGACGGTGGGTGTGATGTGATTTGCCTTCCAGTGGTGTGAGGCCGTCCAGCAGAGGCTCCCCCCTGTGAGCTGAGGCCTGCAGCCAGCCAAAAGAGCTCCAGCACAAATGGATATCATAGTCTGTCAGCTTCTGGTACAGCTCCTTAAAATCTGTCTTATTGATGCACTTAAAGGCAAGCACTGGTGTTGTGGACACCGGGTGTTTAACTATGTTGACCAGGCGGATGATGTTGGTTCCTCTCTGCAGGTTTTCAAAAATTTAGATTTCTTGTTTGACCCTCACTGTAGGGTTGGTGGTTCGATCCCTGGCTTCTCCGGTCCCCATGTCAACATGTCCTTGGTTAAGACACTGAAGTTGATCCTGGTGATATCACCAGTGTGTGAATGGTTCTCTGAGTGACGGTGTGAACTGGCAAATAGTGTTAAAGCACTGTGAGTATGCTTCAGTGCACAGACAAGCTGTATTCAAGTGTAAGTCCATTTACGAGTATTTTTAATTCAAATATGCTTTAAAACTACTCAATGTGAAGAGATGCTGCCAAAGGCTCCTGTGACTCAGACAAGGAGTCTAAGTCACAGGAGCCTTTGGCAGCAAGGAGTCTAAGTCACAGAAGCAGTCTGACCTCTGGCTGACCTCTTTTTCAATACACCCTGGACAGCAGAGCCAGTGGTAAACTGCAAAAGAGCTTGCTCTCCTCATGATGACAACACACAGTGACTGGCTGGGGCCGGACTGTGAGCCACTGAGATGAGCGGCCAGCCTCCCTCTCCAGAGGCCGTCACACCTCTGACAACTTTGGCACAAAAACAGATGCTATTTGGATAAACTGACCACACCTTCAAACCCAAAATGGTTCATTTCTTATCTGAAAGCATATCAAATGTTAAAGTTTGGTTAGGTTAAACAAATAAAGTCCAATGGACACCTCAAAGTATCTGTAACACTGTAGATTATCTGAAATCAAGGCCAAGTCCCCTGGCATCCTGGAGCACTTCCATTAAGACTATCTTCCTGTAAAATATGATTCAGTAGGCCACCACTCTCTCTCTCTCTTCTAAAAAGAATCGAGCATTCAGCGTCAACTACCCCTAGCTGACCCGTCTTTGGAAAGTGAGTATTTCATATTCTATCAGTTAAGCCTATGTGTATGCATATTATTATTTTTTTTTTTATAATAAGGGGTTCTTACCTCCTGTAATAACGTTTTCCAACTCAGTTCCAGACGCTGTATTACTGCTGCAATCTGACCCGGAAGAAGAACAGCAGCAGCTGAAACAAGATGGCCCAGAACTTCAAGGCATCGCGGAGCAGCAGCAGCTGAATCAGACAGCGCCCCCTCAAGGCGATCCGGAGCAACCGGCTCAGAAACCTGTGATTCAAGCAGGCCCTGAAGAATCAGCAGCATTGCAACTTGAGGAACAACGCTCGAGCGGGGCTTCGGTCTGATCAAGTCGTGCAAAATGTAGGCGTTCTTCCTCTTCTGATTCTTCATCCGGTAAGACACTTATTGTGGTGGTTTCTACATTGTTTTTAAAACCTTCTTCATCAACATAACAGGATGGTTAATCTTCGTTGTACTTATCCATTCCGATTATGGCTCTCGGAGGAGGAGGAGAAGGAGGTGTACACGCATCTGTAGATGTTCTGGAAGAGGACACTTCGGTCATGATGACAGGAGCTTCATCCCCAATGCATGGTGTCATTCCAACATCATGCTGATGCATCTCAACCGGTTATCGTGTGAATCCTTTCAAGTGATGGGTGATATTCTTGCTTGTTACAACAACCGTGTGATTAAAAAGTAAGATGGATGATTATAACTGTGATTTGAACGATGTGTCTGCATTACCGGTCATGTCTACGAACCATAGTGTTGACGCTTCAACCTCCAATGTAAACGCTGCTCATTTTGATCAATTTGAAGCTTCTGTAAATAGGCTGGTGGAAATAATACTGCATCACCTAATCATTCCCTAGAGTGTAATGACCATGTTGTTTGTATTAACAGATGGGAGTAAAGAGTATGCTTCAGATTTTGACAGATTAGAAGCTTCTGTAAATAACCTGTTGGAAATAATACAGCCGTCACCAAATCATTCCCTACAGTGTAATGGCGATGTTGTACCACCGGATGGGGCTAATGCTTCAGATTTTGACAGATTAGAAGCGTCTGTAAATAGGCTATTGCTGGAAATAAGACGAGCTTCTTAGCAGCAAAGAGGCCGGGGTTCTAATGAAAACAAAAATGAACAAAATGCTCATTCAGAAAGCCAAAATAGTGAAAACCAAAATGCTCACTCAGAAACCCAAAATAGTTAAAGAGCTCGTCAAATACCTGCCTCCTCAGAAACCGTTCAAAATACACCTGACCAAAATGATGAAGAGAGCTCCTCATCTGATCAAACATTCCCTGAAACCACGGTTGTAACTAGGGCTAGATTCAACAACTTTGAAATAAGGCAGTTGTTAAATATGGATCAAACGGACAAAGTTAATTATGGAAACTTTTATGGTAACGTTATGGGAAACGTGTCTGATCTTCTTCATCAGGCTCTAAACTAGTGTCACGAGGGCAATCTTATTCAGCTTGAATTAAGGGGTGAAATGGTTAGATCAAACGTGTCCGTCATCGCATCTGCCTCCGACGGGGTGGACTTGACCCCATTCCAAGACTTATTAGACAGAATGATCCAATCCAACTTTTCTAACAGACGATAGTTTGGAGCTTGTGATTCAGGTTGTGAGAATTCCCACAGGCGGTGGCAAACATTTGTTGAAAAAAACCCTAGACTGTGAGATTTTTAAAAAGAAGCAGAGATTTCTTTACATCATTGAAAATAAAGGTAATCAGCTCTGTTTTGCCATCAGCCTCGTGCATCTCATGTTCCCTGAAATGACAGACTCAGAGGCTCTGAGCAGAGCTCATGAGTTTCAGAGACAGGCTGGTCTAACCAAGCAGACGCCTGTGGGTCTTACAGACGTGCAAAAATTTGAAGAGGTCACCCAACGTAAAATTGTAGTGTTTTACAGAATGGGCAAAGAACATCTGAATATATTTCAAGCCTTGAGGCCACCAAAAGATGAAACATCATACGTGTTCCTCTATGAAAACCATTATTACGGGGTAAAAAAATCCAAAAATGTTCATAGGTTCCAAATATCTATGCAACCACTGCCACAAGGGTTATGACAATCATTTGAATCATAAATGCTTGGGTCACTGTAATGTGTGTTTTGACGCAGACTGCACCGGGATGCAAACACCCCCCGCAGAGAGTGTGGTGTGTGACCAAATCAACCGCCGGTGCTCCTCCACCTATTGTCTGATGAAACACAGAGAGATGACCTGGCACCCGCAGACTGAGATGCATGCCAGCCTATGCCAAATCCATAAAAAATGTTTAAAATGCTCGAGATTGTATTACACTCCGCTGACTAAACAGGCAAAACCTCACAAGTGACCCGAGTTGAATTGTTACATCTGCGGGTGCATCATCGCTGATGAATCAGCCGAGGGGCATAAATGTTCCATCCAAAGCCTGCCCCTGCCTGAAAATTAGGATTGTATTCTGGATAAAAAATTAATATTCTACGATTTTTTAAACACCCTGATAAAAACGGTGTGCACATACCTTTTTATGTAAGTGCGAAAACAGGCGGTCTGATGTGGGGCCATTATGGAACCGACTGCGCCGTGAAATTTCTAATGCACTTTCGAGCGCCTCACTATTACAAAGCAGTGTTTTTAGCTCACAATTCAAAATGGTTTGACGGCCATATTCTGGTGAATGCTATGCTGTCTCTGGGGATAAAGCCCGACCAGCAAAACCGTTCAGTCTGCCTTCAGGATAGAGGGACACCTTTCTTCCTGAAACCCAATCTTTTATACAATTTTTGAAATGTGCAAAAGTAGGTTGATCTGGTGCCTCTTGTGCTGTTCCATTGGTCCATCCATTCCCAAGGTCCCTTCTGCTCCAGTGAATAAAGACAGTTTCCTAGAGAGGGAGGAAGACCCGACACTGCCTGTGTGTGTGTATGAAAATAGCTATTTTACCAGGCAGCTGTTTCTTCTTGGCCAAAATCTGACTATAACCTTGGTGTAAATCTTAGTATCTTATCAAACCCTAACTCCCCTGGCTTCAAAGCTCAGCGGGAATAATGAGCTCTTGTAGAAAAGGCAACAAATCTAATGAAAGCCTGTGGGATGATTAGAGCTTGGAAAGTTACTCAATGCACCAGACTTTTAATCTCAGGAGCCTGCAATATCACACAAAGTTTTCAGTGTCCATACAGCAACTTACTTTCTCATTTAGTGAACTTATAATTGGGTGAAAAGTAACTTCATAAACATATCTGTGACATGCAAGTAGGTGAACCTATGTATTCTGAAATATAATCTTAACTATTCCTTTTCTAGTATGATAGAATAGTCATACACAAACAAAAGGAACACACAGGTTAAATGAACAACAGTCATGGTGTCAATCTTCTACTAAATAAGTACTTACTTCAATCAAATGTTAGAACCAATCCTAGAGTATAACTTTGTTAATAATTTTACCCAACATATGCCACCATGTGTCATGGAACATTTGATTTTGTAAAGGAGGCTGTGTGTTATTGTAAAAATGACGCCGTCATTCTCAGGAAAGCCTGCCTGAAGTTTAGAGACAGTTTGACTGAAACCAAGCTGGATCCTTTTAAACGATCCACCATAGCCTCGGCCTGCATGTACTGTATGTGTTTAGAATATACTTTCTCAAAGAAAACACTGAAAAGAAAGCATTTGAATGTGAAAAGAAAGCATTTGAATTCATGGGTTGTTTTTACCACGGGTGTTTGAAATGTTTTCCAGGCGATAGAATTCATCCTTTAATGGGGAAAACCTTCGAGGAGATGCAGGAAGATACTCGAGACAGGCTGGCAAAATTGCAGAGTGTGTACGGTCTGAGCCTTGTGGTCATGAAAGAGCATTGTTGGGTTGAAATGAAAAAAATCTCACAAGGGTGTGAAAGCTTTCCTAAAAAGCTATAAAGCCCCAGAACCATTATCCCCGTGAGACGCTCTGTACGGAGCACCGTCTGAACTGCACCTGCCCCGTGAGTCTGAGGTATTCAGCCGCTGAGGATGAGACGGTCAAATACGTGGACTTTACGTCCCTGTATCCCTATGTAAATTACACGTGTCCGTACCCCGTGGGTCACCCTGAAATTATATTCAGGGATTTTCAGCCTGTAGAATCTTATTTCAGGTTCATTAAGGCTAAAGTATATCTGCCCAGGGGCCTGTTTTTCCCTGTGCTACCCTACAGATCCACCAGAGGGAGACTCATCTTCACACTATGCAGAACTTGTGCAGAAGTGAACCTGCAGCATGACCTGTGCCCTCACACAGACAAAGAGAGGGCGCTGTCCGGTGTGTGGGTCACCCTGGAGTTTGTAAAAGCTCTGGAGAAAGGATACAGACTCGCTGAAATTAGTGAAGTGTGGCATTTCAAAGAACAAAGCGCCTCTTTCTTTAAAGGTTACCATCAGCACTTTTCTCAAAGGGAAACAGGAGGCCAGCGGGTATCCAGCAGGTGTCACCGATGAGGCGGGTAAAAGGCAATACATTAAAGGCTATCACGAGTAATCAAGGCATCTTACTGGACGCCTCAAATATCGAGCTCAATCCCGTTAAAAGACAAGTGGCCAAACTGTGCTTGAACTCTTTTTGAGGAAAGTTTGCACAAAAGTGTAATATGACTCGAACTGAAAATAGTGAGCGAGCCGGAAAACATTTTTCAACTTGTTATTTTCAGGAACTCACAAGGTTAAATATTTGAACTTTCTCAACGACAATGCAGCCCAGTACAGCGACAGGAGCATGTACTCACGCCCCAATCCCTTGGATAGTGTATCGCTGCTTTCACAATGTGTCACGCCAGATTGAAACTGTACAGTCATATGGAGAGGTTTGAAAAGATGGTTCTCTATTACAATACAGACAGTTTAATTTACACCACTAAACAGGGCGAGACAGAGTTGGAGCTGGGTCATTATCTGGGCAATCTCACAGACGAGTTAAATTCAGATTCCATCCAGGAATTTGTTTCAGCAGGTCCTAAAAGTTACAGATATCAAATGAGAGGCAGCAAGGTGGAAATTAGAGCATTACCAAATCATACGAGTGTTGCCAGCGCATCAATTTCGATTCGATCAAGGATTTAGTGGAAAACTATATTGAAAAGTCAGAGGCTGAAATCTTGACGGTTCTTCAATTTTAGCCCGGGGTTAAAGGCCCCGTTCTCATGCATGGTTGTGGGACCCAACGGTGCTGGAAAAACTTTTTGTAAAAATGTTATTGGAAAAATGTAACTATATGATGGATGTTGTACCAGATAATATTGTGTGGGTCTACACTTCGTTTCAACCCATGTACACTGATTTGCAAAAGATGAATAAAGAAATAAAATTTGTGGAAGGTTTGCCCTCATTATTCGAGGATTAATCTGTTTCCTCGCGGTCTGAAACATCTCATCATTTTGGACGATGTTATTTTTGAGGCCTTGGAACATCCAGAGGTGGTTAAAATCTTTACTGTCTGCTACCTCACGAGCACACCTGTGTGTATCTCCCTGGAAGAATCGCTAATAAACATGTCTGACCGCTTAAAATGAAACCTGCCTCTCTTGAAGGCACTAGTTTCCAGCACACCGTGTCGGCGCCGGGCCATTCTTGAGGGCTGTTAACCCGATCTGGTTAAAACCATCTGTGAACTAGTGTTTAATCTCCTCAAAGGCCATATAACTCTTTCAGCCAATCAATACAATAAGTTAAAGAGGCAGAGAAAAAGTCTCAGAACCCTGGCTGATAAAAAAACAGCTTTAGTAAAAAAGAGGAGACTTATTCAGAAAG